ATCACCCCCACAGTCTGTGGAGAATCAACAACTGGCTGACGATCTTAATGTGTTTTACTACTAGTTTGAAAAGCCCAGTCTTACACCCCACACCCGCTCTGATCTGCACTTCACACATGCACCTACCCCCCCTGCAACCCCCTCCCTCCCTCTCCTCTCCTCTCCTCTCCAACCATTCAACCTGTGCTTAAGGTCTGTGTACAGGATGTGAACTGGGTCTTCAGAAAACAGAAGACTAAGAAAGCTTCAGGCCCAGATGGTGTTTCACTTGCCTGTTTAAAGGTCTGCGCTGACCAACTGGCCCTCATCTTTACACATATCTTCAACTGATCTCTGGAGCTGTGTGAAGTTCCCTCCTGCTTCAAACACTCCACTATCATTCCAGTCCCCCAAAAAACCCAAATCACTGGATTTAACAAAACTACAGACCTGTTGCTCTCACGTCTGTGGTCATGAAGTCATTTGAGAGACTGGTGTTGGCCTATCTAAAAGACATCACTGGACCCTTGCTGGATCATCTTTAGTTTAGTTTAGTTTAGTTTAGTTTAAAATTAGAGATGCAGTTGAGTTTTTTTATTCCTTCTTTCAAGTGTCATAATCCATAGGATGCTTAACTGCAAAAAAGAAAGGAAACACAGTATGACTGGATAGCGTTTACAACAAAGTACACAATGTGAGGGACTTGCACAAGACATTGAGAGTGTAATACAGCCCTGTTTACACACAAGTGAGAGCTTAGCACAAACAGCGGTAGGATAACACTCTGACCTATTTGTCATTAAACTACCCTTGTGTTTTCTTTAAAGGTGAGCATGTCTAGAAGCATGCTGGAGACCGTCATCAAACACTGGGACTCCCGTGGGAGCTTAGAATGCAATGTGCAGCTCAACTTCTCCAGGCCTGTGTACACAGTTAAAACAGGGGGTGAGTGGCCAGAGACAAGGGCAGGAAGTAGAGAGGGTTTCATGACCACGGTTTATCAGCAGCCTGCTCTCTGTTTGCCATTGTGCAGAGGCGGGCTTCTTTGGTCTGCTTAATGCCGTCCCTGTGGAGGTCAGGAGGTTGATTCTGGCCCACAGCCAGCAAACCAACAGCCATTTTGAGCCCCTAGATACAGACCGAGGTATGTAATACATCAATATGTTTTATATACTGTATACACACAACCAGTGTATTAGACATGTTTTGTTAGGAAACATCAAAGACAAAGAGGAAGATTGGGATTCTCATTGGTCCAGTAAATCATCAGCGTTCGATACGTCCGACATGAGGCCTGGAGGAGTCTTGAACCCAACAGCATGTCTACACCCGGGAGACATTCTTCTCTTTACCGTGACCCAACAGCACTATCCTCAGTATGATGTGTAAGTACATGCTGAAATGTGATTCATCTGCAGCCCATCCATTTTCATTGTCACAGAGGGAATCCTGCTTTTTTCACAGAGACAGCTTGTACAACACTAATTATGCGTTTGACTGGGGACCCTTCAGATTACTGGCACAAGACCAAGAACTGGCACGATCTACCCACTCCCTTTTTTCCATAAGTCTCCATGAGCCTGGGGTATACACCTTCAAACTCAGCAGCCACCAGCATAGGCACATGGTATTATGATCCATTTTCATGTTATGGTGGATAACTGTTACATGTTATTAAAATTATGTACTACTAAATACTAAATAAATGAAACAATAAAATACTAAAAACTAAAATCAATTGTTTTAAATGCAAATTAAATTTAAGTAGTTGTTTCAGTTAAATATGTTTACACTCATACTTTGGTAAAATTACAGCTTTACATATATTAATACATTAAAAACAGTAATATTGTGAAAAATTATTTAATTTATTTAACAATTTAAAATAACAAAATGTCATTTATTCCTGTGAATCAAAGCTGAATTTTCAGCAGCCATTAGTCCAGTCTTCAGTGTCACATGGTTCTTCAGAAATCAATCTAATTAATTGATTTGGTGCTCAAGAAACATTTGTTATAATTATCAATGTTAAAAACAGTTGTGCTGCTTAATAGTTTTGTGTAAACCGTGATACTTTCTTTTTCAGGATTCTTCGATGAATAGAAAGTTAAGAAGAACAGCATTTATTTTAAATTGAAATCTTTTGTAACATTATAAATGTCTTTACTGTCACATTTAATCAAATAATGCATCCTTGCTGAAGAAAAGTAATACCTTATTCTTTTAAAAGCAATGTATTTATATATATTCTATTCTAAGTGATAAAACTCTTCATTTCTCACACATCACACCTCATATTTTCCTCTCATCTCAACTTTTAGGGTCAAATTTGCTTGTTATTGTGAAAATGACAGTTGTATTTTATTATAATTCTCTTTAAAATCTAAGTGATTAATAAATCATTTTCACACAATAAATATTTAAATAATTTTCTATTTCACTTTGTTTAGTTTATCTTAATTTTAAATATTTAACAATTATTCCTATTTGAAGATTGAAATTATTGGTCTGAGACAAGGAAAAAACAAACAAACAAACAAAAAATAAAAATAAAAATAAAATTCAAGGTATGATAAATCGTTTTCAAAACTTTCACATAAAAAAATAAAAAGTTTAAATCGTTAAAACCAAAAGTTAAAATCAACCACTATGTCCATTTATTCATTGATGTTATTGTTTGGTTCTTTCAGTATGTTCGGGTAGTGCCTGCAGGTGGAGAGTGCTATGACTCTGGACCCTTCTTCCCTTCTGACCCACATCATTTGACTCGCATGGGCATCGCACAGAGACGCCAACTGCTGCTCCGCCCCGACTGGCTGATGATCGGTGGGCTTTTAGTAGGAGCTGTAGTAATCCTGTGCTTGTGTGTCATAATATTGGTAAGTGTTAAGGAAGGCTTTAACAAAAACCTTGGGGTTAACAAAGCTTGGCTTATTAAAGCGAATGAACACTGTGTCCTCACAGATCCTGTTCAGGGAGTACGGCTGGCCTGAGAAACTGCCAGCTCAGGCCAGGTACCGTGATCTGCAGCTAAGGTACAACATGGACGACTATTCATCAAAGGGCTCCAGGGTGGTGGCTGTGAAAAAAACACATCGAAACCTGCAGGTGGGGTTGACTGAGGACTCAGTGCAGAGAGGTAACCACTGACGTCAAAAACCACAGACACATGAGCAAACCTTTTTTTGTACTACCAGGGGCTACATATGCTACCTTCTTACACAATTAGACCCACCTTACACAAGATCACTGTGCGAACCAGGTTCATCCCCTTGACCGTAATGCCTCATGTACAGCCACATCACATTCGATACGAGTTAAAAGATTACACAGACTTCACATACACTAGTAACAAACATTGTTAACACGTTGCAATTAGGAACTAACAATGAACTTGATCTTTTTTCTTTTTTTTTTAACGTTTTTGAAAGAAGTGTCTTTCCATGGCTGGAAAGAGACTTAATAAATTCAAAATGACAGTAAAAAGTACAAATTTTAATAAAACTGTAATAAAAAATATAAACTAATTTAATTTAAAACAACTGTTTTAATATATGTTATAATATAACTTTCTTCTGTGATGTCAAAGCTGAATTTTCAGCATCATTACTCCAGTCTTCAGTGTCACATGATCCTTCAGAAATCATTATATTATGCTGATTTGCTGCTGAATAAATATTAATTTTTATTATCAATATTGATAACAGTTGTGCTGCTTAATATTTTGTGGAAACTGTGATAGTTCAAACTTAGACCAAACCTTATTGTAAAATGTTATCCAAATATGATTAGATTTGGAATTATTTGAGACTGAATAAAAATTATTATTATTATTAATTATACATTTTGTTTTCATTTTTCCCCAAGTACAAACATACTACTGGTGGCAGGAAGTAACTAATTTTATATTATAAAATATAACATTATTTGTATTATATGGCCAAAAAACAGACAAAAGGAAAACATTTGATCAATTAAAGCTACTTTTTTTCTATAGACAGAAAAATATCTATGGATGCTTGAAAATGAGCAAACATGATTTTAGACATGACACCCAATGCTTTTTGAACATTATCAAATTACAAGGAATCCCTCTGTACTTCACAATAAAGGAGAAACCAATTTCCCCAAGATCTCAAAAGCTTGTTTCTTTATTTGCTTCAAGTAGCGTTTGAACATCCATTGCCAAGATTCCTTGTCTGCTTAAGATCACAATGATATCAGGCTTCATTCATCATGGCTGTAGCAAACTGACCTATTTTAAGTGCAAGTTTAGGATACCCCTGATGTTTTGGCAGAACCATATATATCTCTGTTTGACAAACACTTAGAGTCCTAGACAGCATCATACACAGTTACCAAAGATTATTCTTCACTCTCAATGCAACGATTGTCAGGAGGTGTATTGGGTGTGACACATTTGGCTGTCCTATGGTATTGTATTGGCTCTGTCCAGAGCTAGAATTCCCACAGACTGTGCTCACATTGCCCACAGCGGTGTCAAATGAATTCTGGGACTATGAAGAGCAAGTGGATCTTGAAGCCTTCAGCTCCAGCACCTTCTACGACATCCTACTCAAGCACAGCGTGTCTGTCACAATACGTCTCGGGCAGCTCAGAGGAGAGGTGAGACTCTATGAGAACAACAGTCTATTTCCCGCCCCTATATGAGCTTCAAATATCACCCTCGTAAAGTTCAAATATATTTACCCATATTGAATAACATCACTGAGAAGCTCAGTTGTAATTAGCAGTCTCTCTTGTTTCATGCTTCACTATCATACTATGTGGGATACAGCAGTGAATTGTTACTTCCCTGGGGCGAAGTGTGTGGATCAACTTGTAAAATGAGTTGTAAATATAGCATTCCTTTGTCAGCTTGTTTCATTGATGGAAACATGCTCCCTGTTTAGGTGAAGCAGCTCTATCAGGGGGTGCTGGGGAAGTTGAGAGAGCTCCACCCTGGCTGGAGGATGTTTGGAGGGAAAACCGAAGGTCTGGAGAGGCAGGTGGAGCAGGAGATGGTGCGACGAAGAGCACTGGGCAATCAGCTGACACAGCTACTGGACAGCCAGCTGCAGATCCTGCGGGTGGAGATGAGATCGCAGCAGGCCATGCAGAAGACCTTCAGAGCGCGACTGAGAGAGAGCGCGAGGCTTCTGAGACTGCTGGCTGAGGGTCAGACCTCACTCTGGGATAAACACATTAAGCAACGGTATGTCATAGAGAGGCAGATATGTATCTGTCTGTTTTATCTCTGCTTGTTTATGTGTTTATGTGTTTGAAACTTAAAGAAAAATCCTCAACCACAAAAAAGTGGTTAATTAAAGTCAATTGATTAAAAATATATTATCAAATTAATCATATTATAATAATCAAATTAATCACACTTAATCGTATACATTATATATTTGCCTAGAAAATCCCCCAAATGAAGCCCCCATTTCATTTTAGTGGCAGACAAATGCATTGAATGGACATTACAAAAAGTGACTTAAGAAGAATAGACTACTGTTCAAAAGTATTTCGTCAGTAAGATTTTTTTTCCAGCAAGGAGACATTTAATTGACATTGAATTGAAGACATTTATAATGTTACAAAAATTTTACATTTAAAAAAATGCTGTTCTTTTGAACTTTCCATTCATCAAAGAATCCTGACTGTTTCCATACAAATATTAAGTAGCAAAAACTTCTTAAACATAAACATTGATGATAATAAGCAATTTTTCTAGAGCACCAATTCAGCATATTAGAATGATTTCTGAAGGATCATGTGACACTGAAGACTGGAGTAATGACTGCTGAAAATTCACCATCACAGAAATAAATTACATTTTAAAATATATTCAAATAGAAAACAGGTAATTTACATTGTAATAACATTTCACAGTATTACTATTTTTACTGTATTTTTAATCAAATAAATGCAGACTTGGTGAGAGATTTCTAAGAGACTGCATTCAAAAACATTTAAAAATCTTACCGACCCCAAACGTTTGAATGGCGGTGCATTTTTTAAAAATTTCATATCATCGAAGTCTATCACTGGCCTACAGATTCACTGTGGTTTTTACAATTTACAGTTTTACAATTAAGTTGTCGATCTGTCCGAGGTGGGCTATTCACATAGGATGCATTCTTTTATTTCGCTGTCATGTTTTTAAAATAGTCTACATCCAGGCAAGACCCCTCCCCCCTCAAAGGAGTAAAATTTGCATTAACCTGTTGTAATTTGCATTAGTGTTAACTAAAAGCAGTAGAATGTTATTGTGTGGCTTCATTTAGATAGCTAAGTACATGACTGTATACTCAAAATTTCAGGGTTCTCAATGACTGTATTGTAATTATTTGTGGAAGAACATGGTTTGTATAACGGAGAATCTCATATCATCTTCGTCCCAGCCCTCTTATCGCATTTCCAGATCAATAATCACAAAGGAAGTGAGTAGCTTAAAGCTTTGTTCAGAGTGCACACAACTGTGATTTACTTTCACATCTGATCTTTAGGATTGACTGTTTAGTAACTGCTGTGATGAAACTGGATCTGTTTGTTTAGAAAGTGCTGTTTTTATCTGATATGTCTGCCTGGATGCAGTATGAGTTACGCATTAGCATAATATGAAGAAAGTAGGTTTCATTGGGAAAAACTAGACATTTCGCCTCTCCTCATATCTATGATGTCATTGCTCAACACGCATCACATCAGATAACATAAGCATCAGAGGGCATCAGCAAGGTGTCCTTGACGCCCAGGAAGAGCACGACACAGCCAGGCCACCGTAAAATCAATGTCGGCCTGACTTAAATGCCTCTGGACCTACCCAGCCTCTGCACAGCCTGCCCTTCACCTCCCTCAGCACCTCCTTCTGATTGCACATATCACATGGACACTTCAAAGCCCAAAGCCTCCACTCATCCCAATGTGTTGGCATTCATTAACCTTAGTTTTTTTTTCAATACCATAGTAAACTCATACTAAATTACTGTTTCATTAAAAAATATCAAACTTTAAAGTATATAAATAGCTTCTTTAATATTGTTATTTAAATGTTATGTTAATCCATGATTCATAACCTACTGTATATGTTGTGCATTGCAGTGTTCTGGAGCGGGTAGCTGTGCTGGCTGATGAGATGACTGAGAAGGTATCAGTGGAGAGCCAGAGGCTGGGGGCCTGGGTTGTGCTTAAAGAGGGCACTGGAGCACAGCTATTATGCCCTGCTACTGGATCAGTCCTCAGTAGGGAAGACATCATCGGTGAGACCTTTTCAGATATTAACCATGTAATTCAGACCTGATGTTGTCACTGTTTTCAGTCAGCGGCTGTGCAATCATGTCCCCTAGCCTAGTGGAATATAATAGAACATAGCCATACTTGAAAAGCCTGGCTACACCACTAGGTGGAGGTATTTTACAACATTGCCCACGCATTGCTGGTCAAATCCTGACAAATAGCTTCTGAGGCTCAACTTGGCATGTCTCTTGCATGACTGATTGATTAAAGTCTGCAGAAACACAGACAGATTTCACTCTTTTCCCCTCCGCAGCTCCTGATGGATCTGTTAGAGCTTGTGATGCCGTTCATGTAAACCCCCTCACAGGCCTCATTCAACCCAACTCTAATGCCCATATGTTACTGGCCAGTGGACACAGCATGCCAGTTCCCCCGGACTTCTTCCTGCACCCCCAGACTGGCAAACTACTGCCTGTGGCTGGAAACGTGGGCTTTGATCCTGCTTCCTCCATCCTTGTCTTTACAGCCGATGCTTGTGTGGGTGAGTCATTCGGTATGCTAGTTAGTACATTTAAATGAATATTCTGAGTTCAGTTCAAGTTAAGCTCAATCAACAGCACTTATTGTTGATTACAGTAAAAATAATTCAAACTCGTTCATTAAAAAAAAAAAAAAAAAAAAAGGAGATTACAATGAGGTGCTTAGGATGTAAGTACAAGGGGACAATTTTTGAAGGATGTGCAGCTTTTTATTAAAAAAAAGTACTTACATTCTTTTTTGTTAAAAATTGTGTATTTGGCTATATGAACTGTAGAGTTATTCCTGTCATTTTTATTGTCATTTTAGATGTTACATTGTCATGGCAATGAAGCAAAATCGAATATAACTTTAATTTAACATTTTAGGTTAAGTTACTAAGCTAACTACTTTTTCCTCACTAAAGTCACATTCCCATGCATATTGTTCACGTCTTGTTGCTGTACTTTTGAAACGGTATTGCAACATTTACAGATTTGACTATTCACTTCCATTGTAAATGCTCCACTGTAACCCAAGTAAAGGAGGGATAAGTGGTCATCAACATTGTGCCACAAATTTCGTTTATTGAAATTCTCAGTCTCCAGCTCCTTCCTATTTGATGTTCTGTAAAACTTATCTGAATTAGTTAGCACCTGTTTTTATACAGTCTATGGTTAGCACCAGCAACCATGGGGGCGGAGCTTAGCAAAGGTTAATTTAATATGGGATATCATTGCAACAGTGCAAGAGCTTTCAGAACTTTTGTCATTTTGATAATATGATCACAGATTTTTCTTATATGATCACAGTGGTGATTAATACCAAATATCAGTTTTATTGAATTATTAATAAAAGTTTAGTTACAGGTTAATAGGTTATGTACATTAAGTGTTATATTACATATTATAATGATATATGTTTAAAATATTTTGTTAATTAGTTTTTTTCATTATTTTAATTTAAATTTTTATTTATAAAATATTTGTTTGTATAAAATATTTTCATTTGTCAGTTTAATATTTATAGTAGTGTGATTAAAACTTTTTAATTGATTTTTGCTAATTCAAGTGTACAGTACTTACAATAGAAATAATTGGGAGTAATTTTTACTTAAAAGTGAAAATGTGAAACTTAAAATTTTTCATAAAAGTACTTACATTATTATTATTATTATTATTATTACATGTGTATTATGTGAGCTGAAAAAGTTCTAGCCATTTTTATGGTCCTTTTACGTGGTCATTTTGGTCATTTTATTTTGGCATGACACTGAGGCAAAAACTCCAGACTTCAAACTTCAGAATCAAACGGGTTAGTTTAGGAAAAGGCTAGTGATTTTTTCACATTCAAATCATATTAACACACACACTGTTCACATCTTGTGGCTATACTGTAAAATTTTAAAATTAACATTTATTTACATTTCTAACATTTTTAACATATATGTTAACATTTGGATTGGCCCCATCCACTACTGTTGGAAATGTATCACTGTTGATTGAAATTTTATTGAACCCAGCATTTTCTTTCTTAGGTGAGGTGGGAAAATGGGAATCACCCCTGCTGCCTTTCATACCGTACCCTCCATCCCGCCATGCTGAAATCCATGCTTCTTCCAAACTACGGGGGCTTCGTTCAGGCCAAAGGCTGGTGCTCGGAGGACCCATGTGTGACTGTGACACTGGTGTTTTGGTGCCTATTCTGGCAGTGACCATCCATCCACAAACAGGATTGGTTTATCCTTTGGGAGGCGTGCACACGTGTCCCATCTTGCATCTGCGGCAGCCTATTCAGATAGGCTGTCCCATGCTGGACCCACGTACTGGCAACCTAGTGCTCATCACAGGCGTCAGTCTTGATCCCCATACAGGTCCATTTTCTGATTGCTGAAAAAATGTCTCGGTATGTTCAAACAGCCTGATTGATGAGTGTCTCTGTTCAGGGGCTGTATTTCCAGTTGGGGGGCTTCTCCTAGGCGAGTCCTTCATCGAGCCCTTGAGTGGCCGGATGGTGCGGGTTGGTGGAGGCAGCGTGCGAGGAGGAAAGATGGTGCCTCATGCTGGGGGTTTCCAGGCTCTGCTGGACAGCCAGGCTCTGGGCGCTTGCTTGCGGGTGGCAGAGCTCCTGCAAGGATTCAGTGAGGAGTGGAGCTCAGCAGCTGCAGATCCACAAGGTGACCTGGACAGACTCTCGGCAGCAACATCTGAGCTGGAGCAGGCCTGGAAAAGCAGCCAACACTGTATGTTGCAGCTGCTGAGTCGCCTGGAAGCCTTACAGGAACAGGCCAGGGGTGTGGTGGAGAATGGCGGTAGTGTGGGTGGGTAGGAGCTCCTTGCTACAAAACATCTAAACATTGCAAGATCTGCACATTAATATAAATTAGGTTATTGCAACAATTGTCATTCTAACAAAATTGTTATCACAGTTATTGATACTTTGGTAAAATTGTGATGCAGTGGCTCCGCCTTAATAGCTATAAAAGCTGCCTTAAAAACTGATCAGATGTAGATTGCCAACTGTTGTCTACCATTTCCTTTTCTAATGTTTATGGACAATCTGTGTGCTTGGATAGTGTTAAACAAATGTTATGGGAAGGATAAAAAATATGATGTGGATAGTAACTAAAAAGTTCACTTGAATCACTTAGAAATAACTTTCAAATGAGGCTTTTTTATTTTCTATTGGCTGTGAATGTGTTGACATATTTTCCTCCATTGTGATTTGCTGTCTCTGCAGTTCTTAATCAAGCCACTGCATAATTTAACAATTTCTTTCAAGAAAAATGACTAACAAAAATACTTTGCAGTGTCACATTTCATTTCATTCCAGTCCATGTAATATTAATATCAAATCTCTTTTTACTATTTTATGAGCAGATTTGACTGAAAACCATGCTGTTCATTATTGTGTGATGTTCTGTAAGGCTTGTCTGAGTGAGTTGGCAACAGTAGGCAACGGGGAGCGGAGCTTAGTGAAGGGTCATTTAATATGGGATTCAAACAGTGTTTGTCAGTTTAATTATTTTTCATTTATGATATCAGTGCTGTTTAATGCCAAATATAATCGTTCTTATAATATCACTAACATTAGGTTATGTAGGTAAGTGATATTAATTTAGGATATGCTATAAGGTAAAATTAAAAAAATCTCTGATGCTCACCAAGGCTGCATTCATTTGATCAAATACAGTAAAAACAGCACAGAACACTTTTCTATTTTAATATATTTTTGAATATAATTTATTCCAGTGAATGCCATCTGATTAAAGCTGAATTTTTGCTAAAGCAATTTTGCCTCCTTGCATTCTTCCCTTCCTTTAGGGGAAATCAAGCTTCCTGGCATTGAGCTCTCCTTGCCAGCTCTCCCCGGGTTGGAGTATCCTGACCCTGGAGGCTCGGGTTTGCATGTCCCAGTTCTGGGAGCTCAGTTGGACTGGGTGTCAGGATCTATGGTGCCCCTGGCAGGAACCATGGAGGATGCAGATGGTAAAGGTAATGGAGGTTACTAGTAATGTCCAAATCCTGTTACATTAATCTCTAGATGTTAACCTAGAGTATATTATGACTCTCAGGGCTAGTTCCCATACATTTTGGAGCGCAGACGGTGGATCCAGTGACAGGGGTGCTGGCTCCGGTTGTGGGGGCCAGTCTGGATGTTTGGAAACGGACTGTGGTTCCTGTAACTGTGTCCCAGATTCTGACGTTAGGAGAAAACCCAGACAGTGTCACAGTGAGCGAAGTTGAACTAAATCACAGCCGCATAAAAGCTCATTTGGCTCGAGGGTGTTTATATGCGTGCAAATGTGTGTTTGTTCACCTCAGGTGGAAGCCCTCCAGAAGGAGAGCAGTGTACAGGGCAATTACTGGCATGAGCAGACACTGAAGGAAGAGGAGATGGTGGGAGATTTTGACAGAGCCGTTAAACACCATCTGTCCACATCCATACATGAGTCTGACTGTGTGAGTTGACGCCACAGAGATGTCACTACGCTCTGTGGCCTATTTAAAATGCAAGTCTTTGGACCAAGTATCTATTTAAATTTTTGTGAGTGTGATGGGAAGCGTTTCCACCATCCCTGCATCCTGAATGAGATTCTGTGCATGTTCATGTGTGTTCGTGAAACAGATAGACTGGATGGACACAGACAGGCAGCTCAGGGAGACCGCCGCTGAGATTCAGGAAAGTGCTCAGTGTGAGGCCCAGAGAAAAGCTCTCCAGAACTCAGAGTTATCGCTGTTCCTACCAGCCCATGTGTTACACACTCTCACAGGAGGTCAGTCCTCGCACTCATACTCCCACTGAGAGTGCAAACGGCTACGCTTTAAAGATTCAATACATAGAACTCATAATTTGAGGTCGGTAAGATTTTTTTTGTTTTAGAATGTTTTAGAAAGAATAAAGTCTCTGATTCTCACTAAGACTGCTATTATTTGACAAACAAACTGTAAAATCAGTAATATTGTGATTATTATTGCAATTTAAAATGTTATATTCTAATATATTAGAATATACTGTGACTGTGACAGCAAAGCTAAATTCTCAGCAGCTGGTCTTCAGTGTCACATGATCCTTCAGAAATCATTCTAATATGCTGATTTGGTGCTCAAGAAATATTTTGTTTTATTATCAGTGCTGTGCAACAGTTGTGCTGCTTAATATTTTTGTGGAAACCATGATAATATTTTTTCAGGATTCCTTGATGAATAAAAAGTTAAAAAGAACAGAATTTATGGTCACACTTTATTTGAAGGTCTCACTGTTAACTAACTATTAATATTAACTACTAACTAGTAATATGCATGCTGGTTAATAGTGAGAATCGGTCCTTAAAATTAAGTGTTACTGAATTATTTTGCAATACAAATCTTTTGTAACATAAATGTCTTTACTGTCACTTTTGATCAATTTGGTGCATTCTTGCTGAATGAATGAATTTCTTTCAAAAAATAAATCTTACTGACCCCAAACTTTTGAACAGTAGTGTATAAAATATAGACTGCTATAAGAAAGAAACTGAGACTGTAAGAGACTGAAACTGAGACTGAGACTTCTATAAGTAAGAGACTGCTTTTGACAACTTATTTGACAACTTATCTGTTTATGTTAAAGAGATAGTTCACTCAATATTTACAGTTCTGTTTTTATTTGCTCACCTTCATGTCTTGCTTACATACAACAAAAAAATTTAGAATTTGAAGAATCTTCACACAGGTCTTTTCTATACAACAAAGTAGTATAGAACAAAGTAGTATGGCTGCTCAAATGCAAAAATTAAGACAACCCCCCCCTGCAAATTATATGTCATTATTCACTGATAATCTTCCCCTCCAGTAAGCAGTAAACTCAAGAATCAAAGCTCTGAACTATTGAGTCATACTCTGATTTTTGTGAACAAATCAATCTTAATTTGTTCATCAGTTGTTATCAAATTGTTCAGTCTGATTTGTGAACAAGATCAGGATCACAAATCGTTTAAAATAATGATTCCTTCTCTGATCCGGTTCTTGAGTTCAAGATTCAATGATCCGTTCACAGCAGTTCTCGAGTGAACAGCTCACTGGAAGAGAAGATTATCAATGAGTTACTTAATGTTAGTGTTGTTCACATAAAGCTATCATATGACTTTATAATATGGCATATGAGTCACATGGACCAATTTCATAGTGCTTTTTGATGCCAATGTTTGGAGCTTAACCAACCCAGTCTCATTAGAAAACGTAACTATTTTACAATGTAATTCGTATGTACAATTTTTACAAAAAAAAACATGAACCTCTGAACCTAACCATCACTAGTGCCTAATTAGATCATAAGAAAACATACAGATAAGATCATACAAATTTAATAAAAAAACAACAACATTTTCTTCTCTAATCTTTTTGTATTTTATCTTTGTTTTCTTTTTATTTATTATACAATTAACAAAAGCAAAAAAGGCCTCTAGCACTAGCTTGCTCTATACTTTTTCTGTTCTATCTGTTTTCTTTTTATTTATTATATGATTTAAAAAAAAAAATTGCTACATGTACTGCATTAAGCTGACTGAGACTTGTTATAACACTTGCATATCATTGCTCTTTTCTTGATTTTGATTGCTTCCATTGTCCTCATTTGTAAGTCACTTTGGATAAAAGCGTCTGCTAAATGTCTAAATGTAAATGTAAAATGTAAATTAATTACCCATCAGTTTTCCAAAATTTAACATAGTTACATATTGCATTGTGAGTTTGTTGGCTTAACAGAGGTGACTATTAACTATCATTGTTTGGAAAAATGTTTTGTCCTCAATTTTGTTTCAGATAACAGCTTTAGGGTTTGGAATGACAAGATAGTTAATAAGTAATGACAAAGTATTCATCTCGGTGTGAACTTTTTCTTTAAGGAGATGAGGAGGAGTGGGAGCAGCAGTGTTACTGGCACACCGAGCTTAAGGCCGTGCTGAACCGAGTGAGTGTGTCCATTGAGAGACTGCAGAGGGACCGGGATCGGCTGTCGGCACAGGAAACGCAGCATCTGGTCAGCTTGTTTTCATATTGAAACATAAAAACACACTCTCACCCTCAGACAGAAAAATACAATGCTGACAACAGTCTGTTGAGCTCATTACTACTTCGTTAAACAGCTGAATGAGCAGATCGATACATTGGAAGCTTGATATCCTTCGCATGACTATTGGTGCGATCGCCAATATTCTGGCTTTGCACTGTCCATTTTCCAGTTTGATGGAGTGTGGTCTGGGATGAATAACACAGTGTATTTTGATTCTCACAGGATGGGAAACTGAGGGAGAAGGATCTGTGGGAGCAATTAATGCAGAGACAAGCAGAGCTGGATGCTGCACTTTCGTCTCTCCACTGTGCTCGTCAGGTCTGCCAGCTGCGTGCTGACATTGCGCAGGTAACACGTGCCGGAGGCCAGACATGCAATATAGGCTCATGACACTGACTGATAATTGTGTAGTGATGTCCTTGGTTTACCTTAGAGCCGTTTGGTATCTATTTGGGACAAGTAGGAACGCTTTAGCAAACTTTATTCCACCTTTTCCCCTGACAGTCTACTGAATTGATTCTTTTCCTAGTCTTTGGTTTCTGGCACATTCTGGTTTAAGGATTTTGGCGTGCTGCAGCCCAAGGGTGTTAGAAACCCTCTGAAAGTAATAGCCATGACTCAGCAGAAAGTCTTTCCTCGGCTTGAACGACTTATTCAGCTGTTGGAGGAAACCAAAGCACTTGGCCAGTCGACCAGCACACAGCGGCAGCAGAGCTCTGGTACAATAACCTCATTTATGCCTTATTACAGAAAAGTTAATCATGCTTTTATTTCAGTTGCAAAATGTTTCTCAAAAGGGAAGCAGGTGTTCGGGCGAGACAGTGCTTCCAGAGCGTGGACCGAATCTGTGTCTGTTGTGAAAGGTATTTTTCAATGCACAAAACAATAAATAGTGAGATTCTGGTTGTCAGCCTGTAGAATTTCATTTGTGTGTTTGTGTCTCCTGCTGCTCTAGGTGTCTCAACTCAGTCCTTTAAAGATCAAATGAAGGCTCAGTCTTCAAGTGAACAGAATGCCACGGTGCCCTCTCTTCCTCTGTCAAACCCATCTTACACTCAGAAAAGCCAGGAAAAAACACAGCTGAACCACAGCCAGGGTGAGGGTGTCTTAAGTCTGAGATGTTACCAGCATCCTCATTTCAGATCACAACATGATGTTCTCTCTTGTTCCATTCAGATGTCCAATCTCTCCAGGAACCTGGTCTGTCCGCACACATCAGTATCCCACAGCTAGCAGGTCAGAGTGTTTTACTTGAGAGCTTTGAGCTGAACCAGTGTATGTTTAAGACTCGTAGGTTCTTTTAACCATGAAGGTCACATTTGAACCACAGGAGCACACTGATGCAAAAACGTGATTTGTTACATTGCTTTAACACATGACTCAAGGTGTTATTGGGGCTATTAGCATGTTTTCTAAGGCAGCCATCACAATTTATAAACTTATGGAGTATATATTATACTTAGGTACTATAATAATTTTGTTTCCTATACTTGCTTACACTTAGAGTATGTTCACATCCCTAATACTAGATTTTAAACTTCATTAATTGCACCATTTGTCAGTGTTGTAGTACTCAAGTCTGGACACGACCGGACTCAGATTCAAGTCCATCTCAAGTCTGATTCTAAGACCATATTTTTTATGACAAGTCGAGAACAGCTCATTTGAGTCCAAGTCCAAGCCGGGTCCAAATGCTCCTGATAGATTTGGACTTGGACTTGAGACTGAGTCTGGTCTGGTCCAGAGTTGATTACTGCAGTGCTACCATTTTTTTCTACAGACATGAATTATACCTTAAATCGTGCTGTTTATTGGGGAGCAGTGTATTCTTACTTTTTCAAAGCATTCAGACTTAAGGTGTGGTCACATGTACTGTTGTTCGGCCAGTTTTCACACGTAAAATCCAATCATTTCAATAGTAATCCATGGCGAAAGATTTCCCCATGCAGATTTTACGGGTTCAGGTTATTCACACTGATTCGCCATGTTGACCAAAAGAAAGCTGGTTTCTGGTTAAACTGTGTTTGTACATAAACTACACTATTGACAATAATTAATTAATTCATTACATTTATATAGCGCTTTTCTAGGCACTCAAAGCGCTTTACATTGTCAGGGGGTATCTCCTCATCCACCACCAGTGTGCAGCATCCACCTGGATGATGCGACGGCAGCCATAGTGCGCCAGAACGCCCACCACACACCAGCTTATTGGTGGAGAGGAGACAGAGTGATGAAGCCAATTAGCAGATATGGGGATTGTTAGGAGGCCATGATGATCAGAGGCCAATGGGCAAATTTGGCCAGGATGCCAAGGTCACACCTCTACTCTTTTCGAAAGAAATCCTAGGATTTTTAATGACCACAGAGAGTCAGGACCTCGGTTTAACGTCTCATCCGAAGGACGGTGCTTGTTGACAGTATAGTGTCCCCGTCACTATACTGGGGCGTTAGGACCCACACAGACCACAGGGTGAGCACCCCTTGCTGGCCTCACTAACACCTCTTCCAGCAGCAACCTAGTTTTCCAAGGAGGTCTCCCATCCAGGTACTGACCAGGCTCAGCCCTACTTAGCTTCAGTGGGAAACCAGGCTTGGGGTACAGGGTGATATGGCTGCCGGCTCAATAGACAATTAACCTTCTTTTGCTGCAAATTCCAATTTTTGAGTGCAGAAAAATGACCCCCAAAACAAACATTGAAAAAAGGAGTCATTTCTAGGGCCTGAGTATTAGTATTAGAGTATGGGCAACATACTAAAAACCACTCAGAACGTGTTAGGAACCACATTTTAGTAACTTAGCATTGTGATGGCAAATTTTGAGCTGGAAAGAACCACTCACATTTTCTTCAGAAAATCAAAAAAAAAATCTAAGTATAAGTAAATGCTAAGAAACATGACAGCAATAAAACAATTTTTATGTGATTTTCCTGTATTGGTGTTCTGTATTTGTTTTATGGTGTTGCAGAGGAAGACTGGTCCAGACTAGTAGCACTATCTCCTCTCTTCCAGCTGATGAAGGAAGTGGAGCAACAGCTCAGGGATAGTGCCAGAGAAAGAGGCCTTCTCCAGCCTTCAGGTCAGGCTCTAATTATCACCACTGAAGCGTGCAATCTGAACTCATCAGAGCTGCAAAGTCATTAGTGTAGCAACAGATGACTTAAAGCCATGAAAAACATCATGTACATGTCAGTGTGGGAATATAACTGGAGCTTTATTTTTAGCAGTGTTATAACTTATTACTCATGTGGTGATGTAATTAATTAACAGCTTTATTTTTTGTTAAAGTTCGCAAAGATGCAGAGTGATCAAAGTCTGACACCAAAGTCTGACACCATTAAATGGTGTGTGTTTGTACATGCATTCAGGTGCAGGCCAGTCATTCATGGATTTCATGGATGCCCAGTGGGAGTGTGAGGGAGAGCTGATTCAAGTGAGCTCTGAAACCCTCAACCCACGACAGCTTCTGCTCTACCAGCATGGACAGTTTCTCCTCCAGCACCTTCACTTACATAAAATGGTCTGGATCCGTCTGTCTTTTTCTCCCTTGCTATTATGTTCTCATAGACAGTGTTGGGAGTAACTAACGAAATGTAACTACAATACTGATTCAACTACATTTTTAAGTAGCGTGACAAAAAAACATTAGATCTTTTAACAAGATGATGAGTTGAATATGCAGCTTAGTTTTAATTGGTTAGATAGATTATTTAAAAGTACCAGTTGAAAAAAAAATCATTTGAGTTCCTGCATTGATAGTTATGTGACATTTGACGATTTATTTTTCTAAAGGGATATACAAAATAATATTATGTAAAGTATTTTTTTTACAACAGTTATAGAATAGAATCTAATATTTGGTTAATTAATGTTCATCAAATTATTTATTTATGTTATTTATATAAAAAAAAATTTTTTTTTTAAATTGGTATTTAATATAAATGAATCAGTTCTAATGCTGTCACCTTTATTGAGTGTTTTTGTGGCAGATAAATACTGCTGAGAATATGCTTTTTAAAAATATATTTTTGAAAGATGTCTCTTATGCTTACAATACCTGGATGTGTTTATTTGATCAAACATACAGTAAAAACACAAATATTGTTAAATATTATTACAGTTTGAAATAACTCTTTACTATTTGAACTTACTGTAAATTTATTCCTGTGATGGCAAAGCTGAATTTTCAGCAGCCTTTACTCCAGGAACCGTGATATATTTTTTCAAGTTTCTTTGATGAATTATATATTATATGTCTTTACTGTCACTTTTGATCAGTGTAATGTGTCCTTGCTGAACAAAAGTATTAATTATTATAATTTTTTTTTCAATCTTACTGACTCCAAACTTACACGCAAACAGCCTTAAGTGTATTCACAGCTTTGGTTTCTTCATTCTAGATACCAGCAGTAACCCTTCAACTGGCTTCTACTCTTCCTTTCAACGACTACCATAACAATGCTTTCCGCAACTCTTTCTATTATCAGGTATCTAGGCGCTTAGGCATGTTTGTATTGAACCAGCTATAAAAAGAAAGAAAAGTTATTAATAATTTACCAGACTTTGAGAAGTGATAATTAGCACCACATTCTCTGTGATATAATTGGTCTCATGGCTAGTTCGGTTGCACTAAGGTTAAATGCCCTCATTTGTCAGTCACTGGGTGAGTGATAATTAATTCATGTTAAGCATACTTAGTGCTCTGTCATACAAACCCCTGTGCACTTAGCAGTTCCTATGTTTTCAGGAGGGACAGAAGACTCTGTTTGTTCGCAGTCAGAGATTGCAATCAGTGGGTGGCCTCTCTCTGCTGCTAATGCACTGTGCTGCACACATTTCCACCGGCCAGATGAGGACCGACACCATTCCTGCCTTTCAAAGAGCCTTCTACAAGGTGCTATAAGTAACCACTCCACACCAACCCAGCTTGAACAGCTTGATTGTGCTAATAGAGTCTTTCTTATTGACATAATGTCCTGTCCCCATTTTCAGGTTTTACAGGTGGGCCTAAGTGAGCTGTTCCATGCCAGACTGGGACAAACTGATAGTCCAGATGATGAGAGGCTGAAAGATTTGGCATCTGACACAGCTCTCAATGGTCTTCTACTGGAAAGAGTCCAGAAGCCAAGTCCTGGGATTTTTTCAGAGCATGTAAGTTTGATTTATTTCGCCATATTCGCCCCTCGTGTTCTCAGTAGCTGTTGCCAAGTAATTCAGAGGGATGTAACAGATGCCGTAGGATCAGATTGATGTGGCAGAAGTAATACATGTCGGAGTTTGAGATTACAGATGTGTGCTGTTTTCTGGGCAGGAAGTTTTGGGACGTCTGCGCAAATACAGAGAGGCTTCAGTGTTCCGCCAGGTCGAGAGTCTACTAAAAGAGTCTCCTAAGAGCCTGGAGATCAACCACCCCAACACTGACCCGTCACTCAATGATGGCCCAGAAAGCCAAGACACTGCTTCTCCATGAACTGACATTTTAACTTTGAACAGTGCTGCCTTTCTGACAGTGATGAATCCAACTTTCAAAGGCATGTTATATGCTGTGAGGCAGCTGGTGGCCTTATCGTCTTGGATGGTAAACCTCTATTTAATCCAGTTTTAATGTAGTTTTCGAGAATAAAGGCATGTTACAGAATTTGACCATGTTGGTATCTACCTAATCTGACTAGCTTCTACCAAATGACACAAATTTGCACCAAAATACCATACAGTTTGATTGGACGCACAACCTCAGGGTGCAATTTCTTAAGAAAAAACTAAACAATACAGGAGGTAGTGAAAATATAATGAATGAAATGAATATAATTGAATGAAAATATAATCTTAAAATTTTAAGAAATACATTTAGACAATGTACAAATACGGTGTCATACAAAAAGAAAAGTCACATAAAATGAACAGTAGAAATAAAGAGAAAAAAATTGAACAGAATCAACTAAATTAAATTGATCAATTACCTTATTGACTATAAATTTATGATTATAAATTTGCTCAAATAGCAAAAGAAAAAAATCCAATATAGCGTTTTCACGCCTTTCCAAAAGAAGAGAAAGATGTCAAATTTACTGTATTTACTTTATCTTTACATTTTTAAACATGAACATATAAATATATATATATATATAACCTTGCTAGATTTACGAAGTTAATAACTGTGGAAATTCTGTGGAATGGGACCATATAATTATATGATTTATTGCATTTAATTTATTTGTGTTTAGAACCGTCATTTCCCGCTGTCCACGACTGTATCCAACAGACCCAGTAGTTAAGACTCATTGTATTAGATTATGACTCAAATAAAAAGAAAGACAAGCATTTGCAGAATATATAGCTAAATAATGGCCTGAGCTTTGAGTTTAAAATAAATTTAAATTAGCAGAATGCTCAGGGCAAAATTATAATGATGATATTTTAAAGCAGCAACACATAAACTAGCTCTATCTTGTTCTGTTTACTATAAGAGTACAAGACAGTCCATCGACACTTCTCGGGTGTCTCAGAATGCAACTTTAACAGTCTTGTTTACCAAATACTTATACACATATGTAAGATTGCACTCATTGTTTTGTCTTGTTTGATTGCATTTTAGTGGTGTTTTTCTGCTATTCACATTTGATACAGCTGCTATTTTGTGCCTGAATGTCCCTCTAGGGATCAATAAAGTTTGTTTATGTAGAGTAACAACAAGAAATGGAAAGGAACAATATTTTTTTTTATCTGTTTAAGTGTGTCTGCTTTTGGAGTACATCTCAGTCGTTGTTCATATTCATGAATACAGTGGAGCACCTTCATCATACCATAAACCTTCAAACATAAACTTGCTATTTTGTGCCTGAATGTCCCTCTAGGGATCAATAAAGTTTGTTTATGTAGAGTAACAACAAGAAATGGAAAGGAACAATACATTTTTTTTATCTGTATAAGTGTGTCTGCTTTTGGAGTACATCTCAGTCGTTGTTCATATTCATGAATACAGTGGAGCACCTTCATCATACCATAAACCTTCAAACATAAACTAGAGCTCTGACTTTATACAGTACATTTCATCAGTAATTCAAAGTTATGTTTTCTGAAAGAATGAGTGTGGCTGTGTCCTTGTACAAGGGCATAGTGATGTTTTTCAGAGTCATTCAGCTTGCTGTAGAGAAAACACAGGATACAACCAAATAAAATAAGTTTTAAATGAAAAAGATTTGTGAATGTTGACCGCGTGATGATGTAGTTACAAGTATCTACTAGCAGTAGAAACAATTCCTCTTGCACGTGCCTGCTGTTGCTATGGTTACGGGTACACTTCCGCAAACAAAACTGCCTCGCTTCTCTTCGCTAGAACTTCTCTTTCGGTGGGCTTTGTAAACTCATTTTCAAGCATGACTTTGCAAGATAACGACGATATCCAAAGGTTTTTGAGGAATGTTGACCAAATGAGTAAGTGCCGTTTGCTTACAACTTATGTTTCTTGATTATAAAACGTCGTCTGCCGTTAGTGCGGACAGGACGGGACTCTTTCAGTGTCACACATTTCTTTGAATCGTGAGCTAAGTGTAATTTGGGAGTTAAAAAAAAATAAATGAGTTGCTTTCTGATTGCAGATGAGCTGGTAAAAGAGTTAAATTCCAGCGTTGTGTCGCGCCTGCCTTCGCAAGCAGATCAATTCATCTCATCCCTGGAGCAGAAGGAACCGTGTAAAACCAAAATCAATAAGACTGTTATGAACAAAAATCCTTCATCTGAAAACGGGCCAGTGGTACAGTATTTGTAGTCTGCACTGGAAATATAATATGAATGAATGAGTAAAAACACAAATGTTAGAGTTCATGAGTATCAGTAATAAATGAAATTAAGTGACTATTACATGCTTTATATTAATACCTAATATTTCAAAAAGCATGCATTTTTTCAAATGTTAATAAGTTTAACTACAGTAACACAATTGTTTTCCTCTTTTTAGAACATCCAGTATGAATCAAGTCAAAATCCAGGTAGGTTTGTGTCTTGAAGTCTCTTATCTGTTCTTGGTTCGGCAGTTGACAAGACTTCTATGTCTCTGATGAATAATTTGATTTCAAGTATAAAACTGGGATGTCTGCCCTTGACGTCTTGTAAATGATTGATAAATCAATACAAACTAGCTCACCTTCATCTTCTCTTCTTGTCTTTTTATTATAAATCTTGCAACGGTTTGTTGCACTCTTCGATTCGTCAGAGAATTTCTTGAGGATATTAGAAAAAGATGCCGAGGAGAGAAGACTGAGAAGAAAGATGAAGGAAGAAAAAGCCAATGGTGGGTACGCTGAAGCCTAAGAGCGAAATGGGCAGTTTCTGTTTTCTGTGTGTGTTGTCAGTTTGTGACGTCTAGATTTGCTCTGTCCTCGTTTGACCCGCAGCGTTAAGGGAGCAGGGGAATGAGGCTTTCACTCAAGGTGACTACGAAACGGCTGTTAGGTTTTATACTGAAGGCTTGGAGCAGCTGCGTGACATGCAGGCTCTCTACACAAACAGAGCACAGGTACTTCCACGTTTCAGAACGAGTTCTTGTACAATAATCTGAAAAGTCAGTATCATAACTGCTAATCCTGTGAGACTGCTCCTCTTGTGATTTTATTGTCTCTTACATTCATGTATTATGTAGGCCTTTATCAAGTTGAAGAGATATAAAGAGGCCATCAGTGACTGTGAGTGGGCTCTGAGGGTGAGTAAAACACTGGGAAAGAGGTCAGAGAAGTGCCCTCTCATTTTTCAGTGTCAGCCGAAGCAGAGAGTTTCTCATCCTACCTTGTCTGGTGAGAACAGCAGGCTACATAGTGCGGTGTCTATTGAACTGGATAGTTGTGCAGCGCATTGGAAAATTGGGTTGAAGTTCCTTCTGAGATGTTCCAAATAGTTTTTGCTTTTGGAAAACTTTTAGAAAGTTAAATAAGAGTTATTTATATATAAATAAATATATCCCTATGGTCTAATGGAAAATCCAATATATTGTCCATTGGGTCAGTGACAAATAAGAGTGTCTAGGATAAAGAATAATCTAGTTTAAAATGACAGTGCATCTGCATGTTGGTCACACCATATGACTGTGAGTTGGTAGACCAAAGTTATTGTAATATTTACAATAAGTACAAAAAATAAATACAAAAAAATATTTTTATGCCCCCCAAAAGATATCAAAATGAGCTTTAATTGAGATGTTACATTTTTTTCATTATAGAAGAGTTGTAATAGATTGGGTAAAGTAATAATTTACCCTAACTTGGGACAAAATAAATCACATTACTGATTCTAGTTTATTACATAAATGCAATTTTCTGTTGTTTTTAAGTGGCCAATGAATATATAAAACTTTCATTCACAGTGTAATGAGAAGTGTATTAAAGCATATGTACACATGGGAAAATCTCACCTAGCACTCAAGGATTTCAAACAGGTAAGTATCGTTCAATAGAAGTCTTTCTGTCCTTTCAAGTCTAAAGCTGGATTACACTTATATTTCTCACCTTATCTGACCTCTCTCCTTTTATCCTGCTACTTTTGCTTTGCTTTCAGTCCAGGATTTGCTATCAAAAAATTTTGGAGATAGAGCCACAGCGAGAGACCATGGTCAAAGGTATGATCCAGAAATGCTGTGAGGATATGAAGCAAGGTCAATAATATACTATAGATCCATGCATTAGCAACAGAGTAGGATTAGCATTGTTTTTATTTTAGCATCCACTCTTTACCTTTTAGTCAAGCGTCTCTCAGAATAAACTGAATTCAGTTGTATTTTTACATGAGTCTCTCTCACACGTTCCCTCTTTCTCATCACATGCTTACACCAGCAGTTTTTAGAACATTAGTTGCTCATTTAAATAGATTTTGAACTTTTCACATGGAATAATGTTCTATGCATTTTAATAGAATATTTCCACATGAATTTGCAAAAAACAAAATATGTTCATGAAGCAATCACATTACCTTGCATTACACTAGCTTATCTGAGACAAGTGGATTTGGAAGAGAAGGCATCGCTCCAGGAAAAGGCAGCTTGGGACGAGCTACAGGAGGGAACAGCGCAGGCCATGGAAGTACCAGAGCTGCTGAAGAAGCTCGACAGACCCAATGAGATCAATCTTTACTACTGTGGTGGATTGGAGCTGCTCTCACAGGCTATTAAAGACTGTAAGTTCACATGATTAATTCAGAGTCCTTTGTTTATTTTAATTTTTAATTTTTTGGTAGGATGAACAAATGTTTATGCCAGCCTTAAACCTCAGATTTGTGTGAAATATGCCTTCGGTTTACCCAGTGTTGTTCCAGCAACCAGGGCGATATTTCTTGCACTGGGGATCGATACAGAGAGGAGAGAAGTGAGGAATTTTGTGCGGAGGGCTCATTGATTCTGCTCTGCGGTTAATTTGCAGTTCATGATGAGGAAACTAATCCTCATGATCAGCCACAGAGGACAGACACAGTGACAGTCCTATCACAAGCAAAAGCTCAAGGCTTTTAGACTTTGTTAGTGAATGCGTGCATTACCTTTCAGTTTGTTTTTGCTCAATTCTGATCCTGTGTCAATATATCACTGCACAGTTCAGTGCAGCAACCCCTTTTGACAATTTAGATTGATAAAATATACTATATATAAGGGACAACCTGAGCTTGTTGCCACAAATCACAAAAAAAGTAAAATTATTTTTCAAAATTCCCTTTACCCTTAGTGAATATTTCTCAGGGTGAGTTTATGTTTGAAACTCAATTTCAGTATGAACACAAACCTTAAAGTACTGCCTACAGCAAAATTGTAACAGTATGTTTAAAATGAAATAAAAAGAAAAGGTTGCACAAAGTATCAAACTGTTGTTTAGTAATACATTGTATGCATTTATAACACATGTCAACCTGCCCTTATGTGACAAACACACACACAAAAATTAAATTAATTAAATTAAATTCTACCTTTATTATATAATTGACTCTTTTCTGTCTGAATGTACACCAGCGTTCAAAAGTTTGGGTCTGTAAGACTTTTTAGTGTTTATGAAAGAAGCCTCTTCTAAAAACACTATTATTTTGAAATATTATAGAATTTAATATTCTGTTTTCTATTTTAATATATTTTAAAATTAAATTCATTTCTGTGATGGCAAAGCTGAATTACAGTCTTCAGTGCCACATAATCCTTCAGAAATCATTCTATGCCGATTTGGTGCAAGAAACATTCTTTTTGTTATCAATGTTGAAAAAAGATGTTGCTTATTGATATTTTTGTGGAAACCTTGATACATATTTTTCAGGATTCTTTAATAAATAGACATTTCAAAAGAACAGCATTTATTTTAAAAAAGTAATTTTTGTAAGATTATACGTTTTTGCTATCACTTTTGATCAATTAAATGCATCTTTTTACTGGCTCAAAACATTTGAACAGTAATGTATACAATTGTGATGATATTGTGTTCACTTGTTTACACAAAAGATATTACAAAAATTATTTTGATATTTCACTTTTCTTTTACTTTTTTCAAACTAGAAACCCAAAAAACTATTGCTAGAGAAAACACATTTATTTAGTATGACTTTTGACTCAAATACTTACAGCTACTGAAATATAATATATAGGCACCATGTTTTTGTTTTTTTTGTACTTCATATTGATATAAACATACCTTCATATCAAGGTAACTTGATAAAAACTATATGCTAAATCAAACGTTTAACTTTGAATTTGACTTCCCTCCCACTTTATATACTGTACTGCAGTCCTTTCCAGCAGATATCCTCTATTAAAAAACTGTTTAAAGTGTCAGAAGTATTCTACAAAGGTAAATGTAGGTCTGCACATTGTGCAACATAATCTTGAAAACACTCCAAGACAGAAAGCTTTTTGCCAAATGTTTTGTGCAGGTAAGATACCTGAATAGCTCTTTGTAAACTAATTTCTAGTATTTCCACAGAATGAACACTGCCTTTGTGTACATAAGGCAGCACTCTCTTATTCTTGATGAGCTTTTGTTTATTCTCCTTGTACTCTCTTTTGTCCTTGAACAGAGTGTATTGTGTGTCTGAGTCTGGCTACTGTGATGTAGTGTTGATATATTGCTCTCACTTCACACCTACTAACACTGACCTTATCTGGTGTCCCTCACAGGTACAGGGCAGACATTATTCAGATTAAACAATGGCTTCAGTATCATTAATGGCAATAACACTGTAAGAAGGTAAGGTTGCTAAAGAAGTGAACCTGACAGTTTGTGGTCAGAATGTACTTTGCACATTTGAAAATGGCTGATGTGTTGTAAAGGTCTCTAGAAGTTGTGTTTAATTTTAATTATGGGAAGATCTTACTGTAGTATCATAAAGTGTGCATGCATAGTCCACGTATGATTGATTGCATCTTAACTTTCTCTCCTCTCTTATCGGTTGTCTTGCTCCAACCAAATACGCTATTAAAATGAATTGACTAATTTGAATGCATTTAAACAACAGATGTGTAATCTGGCTCTGCTGTATCATCATGTCATGTGTTGGAATTTAAGAATGTGCCTGGTTGTTATTTTTCATGCATTTATGCTGAATGAGGAATGGAGCTTTCAAGCTTCAAAAAGGATGCAAAAGCAGATTATTCTGTTTTTGGGTGAACTATCACTTTAACATTTTATCTATGCATGACTGAAATGTATTTACTGTATCTCAGTTTTTTCCTCTTCTGCATTTAGCTGTCTCTCACAGAATTCAAAAGATCCATATGCGGTTGATCTATGCTTGTCCATCGTCAAACTATGGAGGACAGTTTGCAGTGGAAATGGTAAGATGAAATGCAGCATGTGAGCGTACAGAATGTATGAATCTTATTCAAAGACCTTGAAAATGAAAGATGCTATTACTGAGGAAAAAATAGCAATCCCATTTGCACATTCCTTTTTAATACTCTTAAACAGTCTCTCTTTGGAAAACTTTAAATGTATCGACACCATTTAATCTGGCTCTGCTTTCCCAGACTTCTTTCAAAGTAATGAGCATTTGTAAAATTGTCTAAATCCAAGTCAATATCAAGTTATCCTGTTCTTTGCCTGCTAGCAGTGAAATTGTTATTGCCTCCCACATTATCACCATCATCCCCATCCCAAAGAAACCCAAAATTACTGGACTTAATGACTACAGACCTGTGGCTCTAACGTCTGTGGTCATGAAGTCTTTTGAAAAACTGGTGCTGGCCCACCTGAAGGACATCACTGGATCCTTGCTGGATCCTCTTCAGTTTGCCTACAGAGCAAACAGGTCTGTGTTTTTTGTTCTGTCACTGTCACTCTGTTACACTGTGGAAGCTTCTGTCACGAAAACAAATTCCTCGTATGTGTAAACATACCTGGCAATAAAGCTCATTCTGATTCTGATTCTGATTCTGATTAAAAGTCTCTTTAGGAAGTAGTTTGTGCCCTTCAGTTATAATCTCATTAACTGGTCAACTAAATCTGCATTTGTCTTTATTAAACCTTTTCTATAATTGTGTTCCTTCCAGAGCAGAACCAACAGCTATTGATGGAGTGTCCCGGTACTAGAGAACACATGGTCCAGCTGTTGGCATCACCGGTACATGAAATAAAGAGGGAAAGCCTGGAATTGCTCAGCATGTACTCACAAACTCAGCACGGACGAGACGTGCTCATCGACAACCTGAATTCAAACCAGTATATATTTTTTGTGTCATTTTGAATGCATTGCATTGTAGTTTACAAAATTATGCTCAGTGAAATAATAATTTACAACATAACACATGAGGAGCCATTTAGACATGACTAATTATGTGAAACAAAATGGATTGGCATGCCACACTGCTAATATACTTTTAAAGATAAAAAGTATATACGTAGAGCATACTTAATAATACTAATAAATCTACATTTCATTAATTGCTCCATGCTTATATTGACAAAATCTCTTAAAATGTAATGTTTTATGTTCTATACGAACAGTAATTGTTTGCATTGCTTAATTAAATATTTAAACAGCATAATTAATTCATTATATAAGTATGTTTAATAAATAAATATTTATATTGTTTTTATAATATTTACTAATATTTATTTAAACCCACTTTGATGTCAATTTTATCTCAACCTTTTATGCTTTTTAGAAAGCAGAGCAGGAGATAGATTTAAGTGTGGTGTTCCTATGATATCTGTGATTCATCTCATTAGCTAGTAAGCAGACACTTCCTGCTGTTATAGCATGTTTTATTAAAGTCCTTTTAATGAGCCTATAATGAATGCGATCTGTCCCCTGTAGAATAGCAGAGAACCTGATGAGCTGTGTTTGCCGCGATATAAGCTCTGCATTGGCGCTTACAGCGCTGGAGAACTTGGCTGCAGAAAATAAGTATGCACAATCAATATATTTGACCTTACCATATACCATGCCCTGTTTTCATGTGAAGTTGATGAATGCCTGAAAGAGGGATAGTGAAACTGACCCTTTTTATGAAATCTTGGGCACGACCCACCTGAGTGTCCATTAGATCATAGTCGCACGTATTAAATCGAGACACATTCAAATTCATTCAGCTCTACAGCCCAGGTCCCTTGAGAATGCAATGTGAACACATTTAAGACAAATCGATCCATCACATTCACAAATCCCTCCATTTATCTCTGTGAAAGAGATCAGCCTCTCGCCGTTTCTAGTCATTCACCACCTTACAGATAGAATAAGGTGCTCTCGGTGAGCACACCAGGAGACAGGATAAAACAGCCACTTCATGCACAGAAGGAAATGAGGATGGCTTAACAGTTTGATAGATAGTCAATGAAAAGTGTTCAGTGAATTCAAGCCGCTGTCTTGTTTCTAGATAAGGATGGGTAGGCATATTGGTCTTGTCGTGAGTTGTACGCTGGGCGTCAGCAACGTGTGATTTGAAACCGTATAGTTCTGCTTGGATCAGCGACCACTCCATTATAACGCCTTTTTATCTTTTGCCCCTCTGGCTCTTTGTGCATTACTGCGAGAGGGTTATCTGAGGATTTAAGTCTGCTGAGCTTTTTTAGTTAGTAGTTAGTTTCTTTATTTAATAATTTGTTGTTGCTGTTTGTCTTTTTCAGATTTAGGATTCAGTCAAGGGAGAACTTCACAGCAGTGTTTGCCCTTCCTCTTGAACATCTGCTGGTGATGTATTATGAAACATCATTCATAGTCATCCTCTTAATAATTATAATAATCTAAAGTATAATAGCGTATAATATTCAAATCAATAATACTTTATTGTCTGGAATCTCAGATATTTTCAGCAAAACAATTCTAATTGTTTTTTCTTATTGATAAAAGATCCTTAATGGATTTTAGCATTTGAATTTCTTTATTCTGTTGGTACTCAAAGTGTAGCACATGTAGACTCTCATTATGATCTTTAGGACTGAGACCCTACATGCTGAGGAGTCTATTTAATTTTGATTGTATTATTTTTCTATATTGCATGATAGAATAATAACGAATTAGTCTTTTGGCAGCAAAAGATCCCAGTCTTCAGAGAAAGCAAATATGTTGTTGCATTTCAGTGCAACATAGATTACAGTCTATGTAGACATCCAATAAAATCAAAGGATTAGTAATTGTACTTATCACATTTTTACTAGTATGATGAGAGCTTATTAAATCTTATTATGAATGGTAAGAGGAGGGTGTACACACACAAACTTTGTTCTATTCTGTATTTATAATTATAATTTTAATTATTAAAATACCTATTAATTACATAATTAGCTTTACATAATTAACTTGCACTACCATTTAATAGATTGGGGTCTGTAAAATAAATAAAAAAATTCTGATGTCGATCACCAAGACTGCATTTATTTGAACAAAAATAAAGTAAAAACAGCAATAGTGTGTTATATTATTACAATTTAAATAACTTTTCTATTGTAATATACTTTAAAATGTCATTTATAGCTGTGATGACAAAGCTTATTTTTTTAGCAGCCATTACTTCAGTCTCACATGATCCTTCAGAAATCATTCTAATATGCTGATTTGGTGCTAAAAAAATTCTTATTACTATCAATGTTAAAAACAGTTGCGCTGCTTAATATTTTTGTGTAAACCATGATAAATTTTTTCAGGGTTCTTTGATGAATATAAAGTTCAAACTAAAGCATTTATTATAAATAGAAATTTAGGTAACATTATAAAATTCTTGTCACTTTTGATAAATCGACCCCAAACTATTGAACGGTAAATCGTCCACATTTCAACTAATGTTCTTTTTTCAATGCACTTGTAGTCAAATATCATGACAGCCGACCATAAGAAACTGGCTTCTGTGATTTCTGTGATCGGGACCATGGCTCTGGATAATGTCATCAGTAAAAAGCTGGCAGGACGTAGCGAATTTTGGAGATGCTCTCTCCAAACTATGGTAGGCTTGGATACAATAACCTTTTACATCACAACCAAGCTCCCAAATACTCTGTCCTTGAACATTGTTGAATTATGTATGATGTCTTGCGCTGTGAATTTTGATTCCGAGGGTTTGTTTTTAAGCTCCTTTTTTGCTATCTTGTTGTATTAGCTGTGAAACAGCCATTTCCCACAGACGCTAAAACTGCAAAAGGACATGAATTTAATTTCCGGCACTGTCAAGATAAAGCTTTGTTTTGGTTGCAGAAGCAGTGCATCGGCTGTGAATGTGGAAGTGTCCTCTATCCCCTCCTGGGTTTGATGATCAACTTAGCCTCAAATCCCTCTCAAGTTGTCCAGGTAAAGCAGGAAGTTTAATGCAGCGGCTCTAGGCCAGCCCTCATCCGAAACATCAAGCACTTTTGTAGCCAAAGGGCCCTGGATAGGCAGAATGTTCTGTTAGCGCCTTTCCTCTCCATATGTTGCAATCATGTCTGAAACACCAAAGGAAAATGGAAGAGAATGTTTTTTTGGCTCTCTTTTAACATACAGGAGCACGCTGTTCTGGCCAGCAGCAGGTGCTTGGACCTGCTGAGCGATTCCTTTGGGGGCGTCATCACAGTGAGTTGAATTCGTTTTAGCAAGCCCAAAGCAAGCTTTTTAACACAACCCCTGATGACTGGAGCCGCCAGAACGTTTGAACTGTAGATTTCTGCACATTAATTACTGAAATGTTCATCCTGCAGGATGTGGGTTGTTGTGGAGCCCAGCATATTAGCATCTCTAGAGCATCTCTACAAAACATATACACATGGCTTCTACAGGATCAAAAATGGAAGTTCAGAGTTTAAATATACAGATGTGCTTAGATGGCTAACATCCCCAAGAGAAGGATTTCTGACTATGTAAATTTAGGTTGGTTCTAGGTTGCTTGCTTGGGTTTTGCTGCCTTGGCGCCTCATATCTCTCCAGTCAGGCTGTTTCTCAGAGTACAATTAAGGTGAAGGAACTTTGTCTTTGTCTCCCTTTATATATAATGGAACTGAATGCTTCCACCTCGAGGTGGACTTTTAGTGCTGTGATACCGCTTGAACTGCAATTTTGACAAGCTGCCACAAAATACATTGGAGTACAGCTACAGCCCAATCCTTTTGAAATGTCCTATCCATCCTGTTTTGGTATCAAACACGTTATCTTGTTTTGTTTTGGCTTCAGAGAGCTGCAGGTTTGCTGAGCGTTCTCCTCCCGATGTCTTCTGATGCCACTCAAGAAGTTGTGCGAAATGGAATAGTGAAGAAGTTGCTGAAGATTCTGAAGGTAGAGCCTCTATCAGGTTTTAGAATTCAGTATAGTGTCTGTAAGAAAATAAAGTCAAATTAAATTAGACAAAAGATGTTTAAGATGGTAGGGATTATGCCCTTCACATTAAATTGGTGAAAAGTCTCTACTGAAAAGACCATCTTAGCCCAGTTGAACCTTGCTGACACATTACATTTTTACTACTGTATATTTCATAACCAGTGTATTATACATTTTTACGGTCTTAAATCAGCCCAGAACCCATTTGTCCATTTCCATTGAAAGCGGTTAAAAGCTACCTTTATTTATTTGTATGTTTATTCATTAACCAAAGTGTAAGAAAGTTGTGCACATCCCACAAACCCACACAGGGCTCAGGTGCAGGACAAAAAAAAGTCTAACTATAACTATAATATAAACGTATTGTCCGCACACTGATGTAACTGCTCCATAAAAATTATTTATTACGGCAATGTTTCGACCATCAGGTCTTCGTCAGGCACAAGAAGACCTGATGGTCGAAACGTTGCTGCAATAAATTATTTTTATGGAGCAGTTACATCAGTGTGCAGACAATACAATTGTATTTTTGCTATGTTTATTCATTAAAATATTTATTTATGACCTGGTTTTATCCTTTGCTGGACCTGAAGGCCATGTTTGTTTGTTTGTTTATTTTTATTTATTTCATCCTTTGTTGCCATTGAAAGTCATGTAAAGCCATATGTTCAATTATCTGCCTTGAAAATTATTTATTTATTTTTCATTCTTTGTTGCCATTGAAAGCCATTTAAAACCATATATATAATTTTGCTACATGATTTAATGATTTTTTTATATAAATAATAATAATTATTAATAAACAACCTAGTTCATCCTTTTTTGGCATTGTTTGCTATCATTTTTTATTTACTGTATTATTTATTATTATTTACCTGTCTGTTTGTTCACCAGAATACAGCAATGTGTAATGGTGGCGGCCCCCAAAGTTAAACGCTTTAACCCTGTAAAGCCTGGCATATTAAATAATATTTAGAAAAAATCATGAATCTCTCTATCATTTGGTGCCATTGAAACTCTGTATTTCACAACCACAAACCAAAACAAAAAGCCTTTATGAAATTAGATCAATAGAAATGTTTACAGTTTTTACAGTAAACAAATTTATTTTTATGTGATCAGTAAATCCCATAATACCCTGATCATATCAAACCAAATCCCGTATCAAATATAATGCATAAAATGTAATTGCAATACATATTTGAATATTCATTATTTATTTCTAAATATTGTTTAAAATGTCAGGCTTTACAGGATAAGGAGTTTAACACCATTAAAAATTCTTGTATTCTGGTCACCAGGTATATTGTTTTCTCTCAGGAGAGTATTGCAGATGCAATCGTAGAACTTTAACTGAAATTTGCTTGTGTGTCTGTCCTTCTGTCCTGCCAGGTAGGAGGACAGATGAGCTCCAGATACTCCATTAAAGCTCTGACATTCTGTACTGCCTCAATCCCACAGGCCTGTGAAGAGCTGGTAAAGCTTGACAAATGTGAGTTCTGAGGGTCAGGGAGGCAGAGGATTGGATTCAATAACGTTTCTTAAGTTCTGTGGCTTTACGGTGACTTTGTGAAAGTTTGTGTGTGCTACGCACATTTATTCATTCAGGGCTGCTCACTTTGAGAAAACTCCTGGGCAGTATTGACGAGTTGGTGGTGGGGAACGCAGCTTTGTGTATGGGCCATTGCTTAGAAGTGGATGGAGCTGCTGGTAGCCTCCTAGGCACAGACTGTGTTCAGTTGCTGCTACACCATGCTGCTGGAGACGGCAAAAGAGCAGCCATTCGGCAGAATGCAGCCATTACTCTTGGGAAGCTGTGCAAAACAGAGCCCAGGTATAATTAAGTTTGACTTGCCTTTTGCAGTCACCTGTATTATACTGATTAACATTCATGCTGATGTACTTATACACAGCAGTGATACTTTGGGAAACATGAAGGTGAAAAGATAATGCCTCCCTATAATTAACCTCAACAAGATGATGAACTTCTTGAATGTATAATGAATTTAAACACCTCAGATCGACAATTTAAGGACATAAGCAAGGCATCCTAAATGAACTGATTCAGATATAAACATGTTTGTTTGTTGAATTTGAAATTAGTTTATATTCTTGTCTCATGTTTGGGCTGTTAATGAGCACTTTTACAGATGTGAAAGTCTCTTTAAATATTTACCAATTGGGCCTTTATACTTTTAATGACCTAAAAACTATTGAGTTTTTTCCCCTTCATCTTTAATTTATAAAGTGTCCACAAGCTCAAGTCTGAGAAAAGTAGCAGCTCTGTTAGTTAGGTGTTCTTGAAGTGTCTTGTTCTCCCAGTCAGCATCTAACAAAGACAATCCAACAAAGAGGAGACAAAATCTTACGGCATTCATCTTTGATGAGCTTTCAACTTTTTAAAGGTAACGCTGCTCCGAGCATGAGTCTTTACAGTGGGATTTCAAACCTCTGAGATTAGAGTGCAGCCTAAAAAGGACATTTTAGACAGAAAACAGTAGAGGGTACAGACACTGCCAAAAATATTACACATAACCGATGAACCTACTTTGTATGCAGAGCAAACTGGCTGACTCTTGTCTGCATTTCATATTCTTAGTTCTGGTTTTATATTTGGCTGTTCAGAGTTCATTGTGTGGTCAAAATGAAAAAGAACCAAATTCTGTTGGTTTGATATATCTCTGTTTTGATTTTTTCAGGCACATGGAGAAACTCAGGGAGCTCCATGGTTTAGAAATCCTTCATTCCTGTGTAAGATTGATCACGTGAGCCACTACCACTCATTCGGTTCCTCAGTAAATGACCTCATAACTCAGGACCCGCACACACACACAAAGAGATGACTGCTGTCCTTTGCTTTACAGCTTAAGATGCTCATCTTAAGTGAGGCCACAAATTACTGTCATGCCTTAAGGCCTATCTTGATTAGGAAGCTGTTTCCTGTGTTCGTTTTAATTAGAGAGAATTCACACTGACATGTGACTCTGTTATCTGCTGTTGTAGAGAACATGTTGCCCTGGGACGATATTCGAAACATTTCAATTTCCTTTCATCCCAAATGACTCACTTGGGAGTGTGTTGTCTTGATTACATTTTGCTTTCTGTTTGTTGAAAAATTGATTAATATTAGCTTTCATGTGTTAAATAAAAAAGGTTAATAAAACGGCATTTGAAGATAATTATGGTTAAAGCCTTCTCATCTTTGCAGACCTGATAGCTTAAGAAAATATTTGATGATGTAATAAGAAAAAAGAAATATTGTTACAATTCAAAAGAGTTTAGCAGATATGAGTCTGAGTGTAATCCAGGGTTTGGGACAGGATTTCACAAACAGACTAATATGGAACCTCAACACTTGAGGTTTGTCCCAGAACATGTATAATGGGATAGCAAAGGGGTAGTTCACCTAAAAATGAAAATTCTGTCATTTACTCAACCTTATGTTGTTCCATATCTGTATGACTCTATCTTCTGTGGAAGAGTTTGGTTACCAGCATTCTTCAAAATTGCTTCTTATATGTTCCACAGTAGAACTTAAATCATACAGGTTTGGAATGATATGAGGGTGAGTAAATGATGGGAAAAAGTAAATTTTTTGGGTAAACTATTCCTTTAATTAAACCACCGGTTAGCCAACATTGACGTCCATTCAAAAGTTGCCATGTCGTCTGACAAAATAATTTTTGTAAGGAAATCACTTTATATACAGTGGGGCAAAAAAGTATTTAGTCAGCCACCAATTGTGCAAGTTCTCCCACTTAAAAAGATGAGAGAGGCCTGTAATTTTCAATAGTTCAGTATTTAGTATTGAATAATAATAATAACAATAGTATTTTAATAATAGTATTCTACTCAATTTTATTTTAGAGGGCTCTTAAAAGTGTGTTCCATTGCCTAAAACTATTGTTCCATTGGTCACTCTGTTCGGTGCCTATTTCTTTAGAAATGGCTAGAAAATGTCAATTCATATCATATAAATGGCATATCACATTGTTGTAGCCTTTGGTTAGCAAGCTAACCGCATAGCCTACTACCTTAGCATCGTGCTAACTGGTTAAGAAAGGCTTGTTTGATTAGATTAGAGCAAAATATGGTGATTAAATTTGGTGGAGTTCCAAACAGCTCTGCGCGAGATGGCATTCTGCTGGGGAATAAGATCTTACATGCCATTTCAATGTGATTTCAGAGTAATTAGTCACATGGCATTTATGACTGTTGACTGGTTCAAAAACCATTGAATTGAGACCTAAGTGCCCATGTGCATAGATGGTATTATAAACGTTCTTCATCCAGACACATAAAATGTATCGAGGCAGAGAGCTTTCTGTGATTGGCTGTTTCTAAATGAAAAATAATTATTATTTTTTTTTTTGCTGTTTACAGAGCCAAGTGACAGGTGTGATTTCTCAAGACACCTTTTTCAGTGATATCTGTCATGTAGTAGGAAAAATGTAAAGAATCGCTTATGGTGCCTTTAATATCATATTTCTACATTTTAAATTTATTCATTTAGCTGACACTTTTATCCAAAGCAACTTTTGGAGTAAGACAGCAAAGCAATTCATCATAAGGAGCAAAAACACGAGAAGTGCTAACAATACAAAGTTTCAAACATTGTCTAGAGTAGTACTTTCTAGAACAGGCAGGGTTTTAAGAAATAGTGAAACCATATAAGACTTTTTTTAAGAGTCAGCAGGATATGGTCAAGTGCTCACAGAAGAGATGAGTTTTTAGCCATATAAATTATATTCATATATTCTTATAGTAGGGACAGAACCAGCCCCCCAAAGACATTTGTCTTTGAACTTTCCAGCAAGTGAACAGTGGTGCAGATAAATAAATTTCTACCCAATGTAGTTCTTGGCATATACAGTATATACGTTATTGGCCATGAGTGGATTAGACTAAGCTTTAATCTTTCTGTCAGAGGAATTGTGGAAACTCACCTGAGGATGAATTGACATGAAAAAATACAAGCTCTTTTAATAAGACTCTCTACACTGTATTTGATTCTTATCTGAATCTGTTTAATAATGGATGACTCGAATACTACCTTATCATAGCAGCTCACACAAGCCGAGGCGAGCATGAAAAATTATACGCAGTCAAACACGATGAGGGTGATGAGGGATTCTACTGACACAGAAATCTGTTTTATTTTTCTCAGCTTGCTTTTGTTCACCTGTCAGTAATCTAATCTACTTATAAATGACTAGAGAGCAAGGTAAAGCCCACAGTAGGCTCCTGCAGAGAGTGTAGTGTGAGCTCTGTTGGGATAGTATCCTGTGTAGTGCATCCCAGTAGAACTTCATTATGGTTTTATGTTTGTGTAGCTTAAAAGAAACCAAGAGAGAAGATTAAGTATGGGGATTGGTTTCATATTTTTCATTTTTGGACTCACAGGTATGTACACTAAGTTATATACAATAAAAATTAAAAAAATATTGTTAATTGAATATTTAATGTGCTAATATATAATATTATTATTAAATTAGCCTGTTAATTAAATATATAATGTATGTAGTACTACAAATATATATTACACAATTATAATTGTTAATTATTTCATAATTTATTTTAAGTAATTTATAATAATTAAAAAATGTTAATTAAATAATTAAATTAGAATTTAAAAGTTATATAAAACCGTAATTATGTATATAATTATACATTATGCAAGTTATAATGTTATATATAATTTTTGTTGATATTTTTACATAATTAAAAATATATCATTATTTAATTGTGAGACACATTACACCCACCAATGTACGAGCTTTCAAAAAATATAATTATATATTTATATTATAAGAGCACTATTGATTAGATACTGTCATGGTGTGTAGGAGAGAAACGAGGAGATGACTTTCAAAACTTGACTTAATAAACAAACCAAATGAAAACAAACACCAACATAGGAAGCGCAGGAAACACACATGGAATGACATTTAAGACTCGACAACAAAAACATGAGGCAGACTACACATTTATACTAAACTTAACGAGGGACCGACAGGTGCGAGGAATCAACTAATAATGAGACAACGAGAACAGGAAACCAAACCAAATATGGGCATAAGGAAACATGAGAGAGAACTAGAACCTGGGGAACAAAACACAACAGACAGGAACACAGGCCTGACAGATACAGGGTAATTGTTTCAAACCAATTGTTTTTTTCAGTGTTATAGGCCCGTCCTTATGGGTGCAGTTCTGTACTTCTAAATATTCTGTTGAGTGTTAGCAACTTATTCACAGATTTCTTAATTTCCCATGCTTTCAGAAAAAAATAGATATGCAAAAGCTGTCACTAGAGCGATACACTTTTTTTTTTTGTTGCTTACCAATAATTGCATATTAGTGACTTTTGAAAGGGTGCTTCCCCTCTGACCACATTTGTACCATTTTTTTCTCTGAGAGTGTGCAACATATTACACATTTGTGTTCCATAAAGAGGACTAAATTATTAATTACGGCAAATGTTGCAACTTGCTTACCTGTATTATGTTCCGGAACAATCCTTATACATGCAATAATTTTAACTGCAACCATCTATTTTTTTGTATATTCAGTCATAAAATTTTAATGCCTATCGAACTATATACTATAGGCATTTATGTGTATTTTATGAGGCATCTCACAAGCAAAATTGCAACTCTGCTTTTTTTTCAGTGAATGCTAAGGAGGAGGATCTGCAAGGCTTTCAGTCCCTGCAAACCGAGAGAGCAACGTTCATAACAATTATGCCATCAGAAGAGCAAAACAGCTCCAGTGACAATGGTGCAAAAGTTTCCACTGAAAGCCCTGCTCTATTGACTATAGCTGTAATCAGTTCTCCAGGGACAGATTTGTTTCATACGCCACATGAGATGCAGCACTCAAGTACAGTAAATGCAACCACAACCACTGATAAAGATGCAATTACCTCAAATGTACCGATCTTTGTCTTAGCTTATGGTACAGGTTCACGTTCAACAGGTGAGGGTGGCATAGCAGCAAAGCCGTTTCAGTCTGACGGAGACCTCATTGATCTCCAATGATGTGGAGAGGCTTCATCTCTCAGCTAAGGCTAAATTTGAGTCAATGATGAATGACACCATGACGCCTGCCTCTCATCTGTCCAGAGGCAGGGAAAAAATCTTTGCTTTTTTTCACGCTTCGCTGGAAAGCAAGAATCAAAGAGTCTTGGAGTCTATTACTCTGTCACCCACAAATGGCATTCCCATGGTATCGGCCTCTGATCCAGCAGTAATTGATAACCTTGGAGAGTCAAATGAGAGCGTGGGAAGATGGGGCAAAAACAAAACTGTAAATTGGACTCCGGAGTCGTTTTGGAGCTGATGACCCTCTGAATCGTACTGAAGAGGTTGCTTTAAAGAAGAACCATTCAACCCTTATGCATTTTACAGTTTTGCAGGGTACAGGGCTTTTAACCACTGAGCTTGGTCAAAATCCAAGAAATGGATCTGAGCATGAGCTAAAAGACCAGAAGAATCTGCTTTCACCAAGTTCACTGATCCTTAATACTCCATTACAAGTGAAATCAACCAGCCAAGTAATAGTTAATAAAATGGCAGAAAGCAGCAAAAATCCGAGCACCAATGGACCAAAACCCTTCGGGGTGTCACTAAAGCACCCAGACTCAATTTTTTTATTCTCCACTTCAAAGCTGACCCCTGCAAAGATTCCAGACACAACCACACTGAGTTATTTTTCAAACATGGTAACAGCTGCTGGCGGAATGCACGTTACAAAACAATTTGTGGCCTCACGGTTGATAACTGACTCCATGCAAAGAATTGTCTCAGCGAGGGACGGACTAGAAAGCAAATCGATTTGTAATTTTCACACCAAATCAAGTAAAGAGCGTCAAATTAAACCAACACTCCAAACCTCGCCAACAAGTTTCCTTCATCGTCTGAATAAAAGTGACCTTTCTTTGGCCGCTCAAACCTTTTCATCTTTGCTAAAAACTTCCCATCTTTGTTCCAAAGAAGCTAGAACATCCAATATCTCTCTGATGGAGAAACATAACAGAATGGATCATTTTCCAGTTTGGCTGAGTGAATTAATGGCCTTTAGTACTGCCTCATTAACCAATGCTGAGAAAGCAACTACAGCAAGTAATAAGCGAATGTTCATGAAACAGACAGAAAGTTCA